TCTCTTCGCCAGCTATACTCAAGCCAGCTTATCGTTCTCCTTCTCGCCGGCCTTGATCATGCCAGCGCAACAAGTGATAGTAACAAGTTCTGCTCCGATACCAAATTTGCAAGGAACCCGACTGTTCATCGCTTGCTGGAGTGCATCAAATCACATGCATATACACTGATTTCACAGTTTGCGAAGTCTCACACATAACCCAATAGAAGATGAATGAGAACCAAAGATCGACTCACTTATCGAACCCAGAATTAGAGAGAGAACATCGTGAGTTCAAAGTATATAGCGCTGAACAGAGATTACAAGTCTTCTTCGTGCAACATGAGTTCCAAGCCTGGCGCTCATCAGCGCCAGCTGCCAAATGTCAACAACAGCGCTCAACAGGTAAGTGTCACCATAGCTCACACCTCCCCCTCTCTCGTCTGCCTTCTTCTCTCTCTCCCTCTATGTCTATAGTCCTGGTCTACCCTCACTCATCATGCATGCACACTCCCTATCACACGAGGATCTACTCTGAATACTACCCACTGGTGTCTCCTACTGACTATCTCTACTAAGATGCTAACTGCTGCTGGCGCAGCTATGGCTGCCTTCCCTCTAGCCAGCACTCTCCCTTCCTTCTCTCATAGCTCTGCTCTTCAGCATAGCGCAGCTCACACACATCTAGGGCACAAGTGCCATGGCACTTCCACACTCTCATGCGAAGTGAGCATCTGTCCAAATGGGAGGCTGGCCAGTCCTTTATAGTGCTGGACTGGCCTGGCGTGGCCTGCATTCAGCCTCAAGTGTCTGGGACTCCTGCCCAGTACCCGCTGTTGCAAAGTACGTGTCCCAGTATCTTTTCCCATGGTCTGCTGCTGCTTTGGGCCATCAGGCGTGTCTTTTGGATGCCTGGTTTGAATCAGGACTGACTCGTGGGATCATGACTGGACTGGGACTGTAGCCTTTGAGTTATTGCCGAACAGACATGTCTTTTCATCGAGGAGACATGACCCTAAATCAGTTCTTGAAAATTGTCCAATACCTGTTCGTTCAGGACCTGTTTGTGACGTTTCAAAATGACTTTTCACTTCATTATGGATGCGACATTTACCTCAGGAACTTTGTCTTTTGAGTTGCTGCTCGTGTATTTAAGTTCTGGCAGACAGGAGCATTTGCTGTTGGGGCATCCATTTGGGGTCTGACTCGTAAGGGCCCTTTTACTCCCCTCCCCCCCACGCCCCCAGCTGTACCCATTTATGCAGCCCATCTCTCCACGTAGGCCAGCTGGGAGTAGTTGCAACAACCTACAACCCACCACGTAAACACGTCTCATAACAGATTGCAGTTAAACAAAAGATAGAAAGCTCACAATAAATTAACAGTAGTGAAGGGTAATGTGAGGAATTGAGCCCTCGGCAGTGCTGGGAAAGGCCTTGCCCTCCTTAAGTGAAGGCGGGCCTGCGAATATGTGCCAAGGCCAAGTTACAGGCCAGTGTGATCACCCTAAAGGGGCCATATATGTGTGGGGGAATGAGCCCTCGCGGGGCCCTTAACAGACATGCACATGTTCTGGGCAGAGGCCATCAGCAAGCCCTGTGCCCGCCCTAAGTGAAGGCGGGCCTGAATATTCACAAGAAGCCAAGATTTGCACTCTATACATTGGTGTGGAGTTTGGTTGAAATGGCCTTATGGCTTTCTTATAAATTGACCTGAAAAATGGGGGGTCGGTTAACATTTCAGAGCCCCCCGTTAGTCAGGAGCTGAAAATGGAGGTCCCCGTTAACCATTTGTGTCCTGGGCGTGTGCTTTCAGAGGCCGACACATCATACAACAGCCACGGACCAATGAGATTGCAGCATTGTCAGCACATAGTGGCCGTGAGCCAATGAGATCACAGCGAACATGTAGAGGCCCATGGACTGCCTGGACGTGCCCAACTGTAAAGGGCCGAGGCCCGTAACTGCAACTGGGCCTGGGCGCCGGCATTGAGGCCCGACTGGAAGCTACTGGATGCTCGCCCAACTAGGCCCAGAGGCAGCAGAGGCTGAGCTCACTTTCCATATAGGAAAGTGAGGCTGAGTTCACTTTCCATATAGGAAAGTGAGGCTGAGCTCACTTTCCATATAGGAAAGTGAGCATCACTGGGCAGTTCATTGCAATGAGGCCACGCTGCTGCGTTGCAACTTCGTGTTTTACACGAAGCTGCTGGCTGGGTCGTGCGCACGGGCGCCGAGGTGTGAGGTGCACTGCTGGGCAGTGGGCCCATGGCAGCCATAGCCGGGCTGCTGGGCACAGATCTGGATGGCGGTGGTGGTCTTTGGGTGTTGAGAATGCACACTGTGGGAAGTCAGGGGTGATGAGGGGACGAGATACATATCTGGTGCATGAGGGAGGTCATCTATGGTGTTGACGCCATGTACCTTGGTCTTCAAAGTCGAAGTGAGCCTGTTGCTTGAACACTGGTGTAGTAGGATAGGCGAGTAGTGTAGGCTGGACGCTGGGCGCCAGACAGAGTAGGAGCGACATTGGATACGGTGTTGGTGTGGCCTGAGGGCCCTCGTGAGTTCATTGTATTGCTCTTATCTGGATGGAATCTTGGTGCATTTGCGCTCTCTGCTTGTACATGACTACTTGGACATCTGTGTGATTCTGCAACTTGGTTTTCTGTATATCGCTCTTGCTCATATTCCTTGCAGAAATTAATAAGATCAGGGGGGGAAAAAAAACACACTGCACTTTTCAGGCTATGCATGCGCTCACACATAATGCGTCTGATCTCTTACGTAACATGTCTTAATCACCTGTTTATTCAAAAAAGCAAAAAATAAAAACACAGAGAGAAGAAAAACTTAGGAGCAAGCAGGTCGCCCTTTAAGCATCAGTAAATCGTTAAACCACCAGTACTTCGCCCATACATGGGCCGAAGACCTTCGGCGTTAACGCGCCGCAGTTTTTGGGGTTCGGGGAAGGCCCGGCAGTGCAATGGAGGAGGATGTGTGTGGGCCCACAGAAACGGGGCAAATGAACGGTAAGATGTCCTGGTGCTTGCTATGTGGAAACGAGTGGAGGCTGAAGGTGACGAGGGGGTAAAGAGAAAAGAAAAGGAACTGTAACATGAGAAGAAAAAAAAACAGATCGTTCTTTTTCTTTCTTTTTCTTTTTTCTGGATCATGAGTGCCCGCCAGCCCTTCGGATTTCAGGGCTTCCATGTAACGTTAGAACTTCTTAGAATGTATCTGGCT